AAAGAACCAAGTGACTTATGCCACTTTCAAAATAAACGGCTCATATATTAATCGTTTCCAAATATTAGGGGGACCGGAAAGTAATGTCGTTTCAGCGCATGTCAGTATTCCTTTTTTTTTGCATACTAAAAATTTGCATACTAAAAATTTGCATACTACATGAAAAAAGGTTGTTGATAATGAGAGTGATTACATCATTGATTGAAAATAAAAACTAGTTAAACATTCATCTGTTTGAACTTAATGTAAACAAACGACATATAACTTTCCGGTCCCCCTAATACATACTCACGAAGTGCCAAAGACACTTCTCTCGACGGTCGCGATTGAAACGTTCATTTTCCCGGAATAAAAAACGAAAACGTTCGAAAATAGAAACGTCTAATCGCCGAAAGAGTTTCTTACAGGTCAATGATCCGATGATCCGATAGATCGCGATTGGAAGAGCGTGAAGACCGTAGCGGGGCTATAAAGAACGAACGATGAAGAGGATCCAGTTTGCAAATGGTCGACGATTGGCACAACCTTCCTGAAGGAAGGTGAAGCTCCGTCGGAGAAAGTCGCCGCGAAAGAAACTGATAGCAGGATAACCGTGAAAGTTTTCTTCTTCGTACATCGGGAAAGACTTGTTGTCGATCGTTACGAAAAAGTTGATGGGAGCTCCTGTCCACGATCATGACCGTAATCGCGATCGTTAATCGTCTCATCTTCCTCTCGTTTATTGTTCTCGTTCGTCTGTTCGTTTGCGTCATTTTCCTCTATTATTTCGCTCTAATTTACACACGATTTCTATTGCTTCTTTTTATTGTTTGTTCGTCCGTTTCTCTCTCTCTCTCTCTCTCTCTTTCTCTCTCCTTCTCTCATTTTAAACGATATATTTTTCCGTCGCTGTTTCGCTGGCTTCACGCGGACGATTTCACCGTTCGCGTTCACATCGCTTCTCAATTCGGTTCTCCTCTGAATGATCATAGGTCTGATCACATGATTGATCGTCATTCTAAGTATTCGGACGACAGCAGGATACGCTGACCGCGTCGTGTCGTCACTGCAACGATGGTTATACTATATGGTAATGGAAGAAGATCCGGCGGAAAGGCACCGACAGAAGTTGTCTCGCGTTGTTACTCTTTGTTTGAACGTGTGATCGGGTTCGCGTTCGTCGTATTTAGTCAGAAGCAACGTAACTGCGTCAATTAAACACTCGCAAACGTTGGACACGATCATTTGTGGCGGGAAGCTTAGAAAATTAGCCATGCGAGCGTAGATGTCGATTGTAGTCGTTGTGAGTGTATCATCCATTGGAAATTGAAGCAGCTGATAGTATATGCATACGTTAGTTTTTTGATGGAATAAATGAAATATATATGACTGTGACATTTGTTCTAATGTAATACAGACTAATAATCGAAGTTGTAAAATTAAAACGAAATTGTACCAAAACTAATAAAGAGAAATGTAAAAAGGATACAGAATACTTGCAATCAGGGAACAAAGAAACGAACAAAATAGTTTGCATAGTGAAATAATCATTTAAAATCGTAGAACAAACAAAAATAACGAAAAATACAAAATTTCTTTCCTCTTGATCGAAAACGTGACAAAAAATTACAATAAAAGTTCTTTAAGAAGTTGAAGAATTGGAAACACAGGTGTGTCTTTCTTGACTAGCAGATTCTTGGTCGCAGGAAATCGGAAAATTAATGAGTCGTTCGACGATCAAGCGAGGCGCCAGCGTGTCTTAATTTAGAGAATGTTCTAGATTGAAGTACAAAGCGAAGATCGTAAACGCAACCCGATCAACGGAAAAATTGTCGACTCTACGTAATATTTGGCTTCGATCTCTAGTTTTCTATGCACGAGGATGTGCGCACTCCGTTATACACACGCCTATACACTCAGCCACGCGTTCACCGTTCCACCGTAAGCACGTGTACACGCACAAAGGATTTCTGCTTTTCGATTGGCAGTCATCGAAGCGTCATTAATTAATCGATCAACTAAGCACGAGACGATTACAAATTAATCAAACTATAGACAGAAACTTCAGAGATTTTGGGCTGGTAGAAAAACTGAATTTGCGTTCGGCAAATTTCCGATCGAGTTCCGGCATCTTTTTTTAATTAAAATGATCATTGTTGTCTCGATGAATGATCAGACTGCGGTCAGAAAAATATTCGATGTAAATGTATGAAAATGGACAACGATTGTTTAAGCATTTACAACATAAGTTAACGAAGAATACTCTTTGCAGAGGAAATAAGCTGCAAGATTTTTTTAAACGACTGTCGAAGCCATCTGCGAAAATACGCAAACATTCGCAAATTATTCGCAAACAATTTCATCGCATTCTTAAATCGTTCACAAAGGAGAAACAATTATATTTAGGTTGGTCTATAAAAGTGTAAATTTGCGTAAACGTCCGCAGTCTGCAAACAATCTCCTATTGCCAATGAAATATTAACGATCGTCCAATCGAATGTTAAATCGAATATTAAATTAGCGAACCGCGGTGCTTCGTACATAGACTGCGGATGTTTGTGCAAATTCAAAATCCGGAATACATTTTCGTTAAATCCTGTCGGACGTAACAGAGACCGAAATCCGTGTAAAAATTTCTTCGGTAGAAATGCAAAATATCCGCAGCCTATCTAGAAACTTTCGCTCGCAAAATTTCCGACTGGGTTAATCTAATTTTACTTTAAATTCCGCATATCATACATACATACACAGATACGTCAGAGTACAAAAAAAAAAAACGAACATGGATAACACGAAGTCGAAGTGTTTCTCTTTCTTCTTCTCCCATGTTTGCACACGCACAGCTACATCAACGTCTTTTACGAACTTTTGATTTTCTCTTCGTCCTCTCTTTTCCTTCTATTTTTTTTTCTTTCTTTATCTTCTTCTGACGCGATACGAACGTGACGCGTGTCCGTCGCCCGTTTCTGCTCCTCCTCTCCGTTTTCTTTGGTTTCAGTACGAAAAAAGGGAATTCGAGTTCTCTGTTGATTCTGTCGTCTCTTATTTACAGTATAACTATCGAACGCTAACATTTTCTCTTCCACTTTTTACAATAGTTCGTTTCAACGATTATGTTTAGTCTGTTAGATTTTAGTTGCTCTGTTCCTTTTACGTCTTAGAAGTTACTATACAAACATCTTTGGCATTTCCGTTCATTCCCTGTCCGACGCCATCTTCTTCCTTTCGAACGATTCTCGCAACCGTGTCGAATCCTGTCGTCCTCGCGAGAACTGGACATCATCGGCAACTTCGTCTTCCCAGAAATGCTGCTATTATTTTCTACATCTAATTACGACTGTCTTTTCAAGTCCGTTTCCCCCGTTTTTTTGATCTGGAACTCCCTACTGCTTCCCTCGTCAACAATATTTTACATCCTCCCTATTCCCCTCCTGTTCTTAATTCGTTACACCCTCTCCTCGGTTAATTTCTTCACGTTAGAATAATAACATCAACGACACCGACTTGAAATGTTCTTCTCTTCTAATAGTTTAACCTATTTTAGTTTTCCGCGCGTGGCCTCCGTCTCTCTCTCTCTCTCTCTCTCTCTCTCGATCCTTTTCTTCTCCCAGTTTAGAGATAGGATACAACGTTTAACGAACCATCGTGAAAATTTGTGAATTCACCCATGCGGGATGTCTTCGATTGTCCGTTGTTCGTATTCCGCTTCGGAAGGGTTGACGTTTTTGTGCGATTACTGACCCGACCACGAAATATACTATCCCCGCCGACACCTTTCATGTAACTAAAATAACGTTTCCTGGGACCAGGCGGGTGGATTCGACGGTAACGGCGCCGGTGGCGGTCTGTGTCTGAGCTCGATGGCTGGTGAACATGGCGGAGAACCGATGCTGCTCTGGCTGCTGGTGCTCGTCGACACTGTCTGTGACCTGTCAACAAATTGACAATGACACATTTCAATTTTGTGTCACTTTACAGGATGCAGACGATAAAGTTTTATCATACTTTTCTGTGCCAGTCGTCAGTAGATTGCAGATCTCTGTGCAAACTAAAAGACTGACTTGCAGATTTTTAGAAGGATAGAAAATACGGAGAGCTCATTGCTTCATCAGCATCAATTCAATTTAATATATTAACGATCGACGCAAGCAATATTCATAAAAGCAGCCTCAAAAGATCTGCCCCAGTTGTTTGTATTTATTTAAAAAATAATTGAGGATAAAAAGAGTCAAAACCAGAGGGGCGTAGTTCTTCAAGATGTAATTTCTTCTACAAAGTTGCAAAGTTTTCCTGAAACCTTGTCACTAATTGGGAACCAAGAAAAAGCCTGCATCTATCATTGACTTTCTTAAGATCTTCATTTTGATGAATTTTCTGTTCCATAGCATAAATATTGTACAGAGATCTGTATTCTGATTATGACGTATTGCAGTTTCTGCAATGATCGCGATGCGAGCGCTAGCTTTCCTTAGCTAAAATAAAAACGTGGAGCGATGATGCATACAGAATGTCCCAAAATTATGGTACTTTCGAGAAATATGATGAGTTCTCCTGAAGTAAAATCCATTTGAAGTAAAATTTCCTTAGCGCGAATGCAATCCGCAGCTTCGTTTACGAGTTATTAACGAAAAACAGCGACCAATGAGAGGCGAGATCGGCTGGCGCAGGACGGCCGAGCCAATGAGCGGAACTGGGCTTCGCGCGCTTGTTGGCTGGGCCGCCTCGCGTCAGCCGTACTCGATTCTTATTGGTCACTGTTTTCCGTTAATAACTCGTTAACGGTGCCTCGGAGAAAATTTTTGTAAGAGGCGAGCATGGCTGGCGCGTGGCTGCTCAGCCAACGAGCACACGAAGCCTAGTTCCGCCGTCTCGCGCCAGCGGAGCTCGTCTCTCATTGGCCAGTGTTTTTCGTTAATAATTCGTAAACGAAGCCACGGGTTGCATTTTCGCTGAGGAAAAAATCACTCCAAATTACCTCAGGAACCCCTCATTTCCCGGGAGTACCATTATTTTGGGACACCCTGTACAGTGAAACCGAGACCAGGTAGATACCTAGAAGTTTCGACAGCCGCGCTGATGCTGCGACAAGTCTGGCAAGGTTTCCCTCCAGGTCGTCGTCTGGGCACACACCCTGTACAACCATCCCACTTCTCGACGATCTCCTTCTTCCTCGAGGGAACCCGAAGGAACCGTCGAGAACTGGGTCCAGGTGCTTCCGAGTCGGTCGAGAACCCGGACACCTCGTCCTCCGTGTCTAGACACTCTTCTTCTTGATCATCGTTTCTCAGGAAGACTGAGTCGGAACCCAAAGACCTGCGCAATCGCAAAATAAATCGTATTAGTCGCTCGGCTTGTCGAATTAACCCTTATCGAGTTAAACGCATCAAATAGAATGTCATTTTAAGGAATTTTATACAGAAAATATTCGATGCTGTTGAACAGATGAGCTTTCGCACAATTTATTCAAGACGTTATAATCGAGCAGTATGAAGATTTTTACAGAAACGACTGGGATCGTGCAGATTCCAAAAGTGCTAAAAATTGTTCATTTAATTCTAGACATTAATCTAATATTAATTAATCTAATTTTAAAATTTGTTCTAACTTTTAATTAATTTAATTATATAGATATTCTGATATTTCATTCTAGCTTCTAGTGTACAAATTTTAATAGGAGAAAATTAATAGGAAAAATTACATTTTGACCGCACAATTAAATAGAAATATTACAATGTTTCTCAACAACTGCTGTCGCTCATGGTACAAGCGTCTGTTGAGAATTAAATACGAGATGCAATAAAACTTCGTCTACAATATTGGATCACGTAAGTGTTTTGCGTGATAAATTCTTTAAAACGATCCATTTTTGTGCGATCTTATGAAAGGGCGTCTTTCACCCTTGATATCTATCAGAATATCTAATTTCCTGTATTTCCTTTGACGGTCTTGAATTCGCTGAAGCTCTTTGCAACAATGAAAACGGAAGTCGCATACCTCGAGTCCGGTTCCGGAGGATCGACACTGCCCATGGAAGCCAATGGCGCCCTTTTACCGGTAGGTCCAGCGAGCAGGAATTCGTTCGCATAAAGACCCGCCTCGCTTGTGCACGGAGAAAGCTCTGGGGTTGGTTGGATTACCTGTTCAAGAATTCCTCGACATGTTATCGACGTTTCTATAAAACGCACAGTGGCTCGCGAAAGCATCCGAACGTTTATATTTAATGCGAATTGATTAACACGCGAAGAAATAGCTCCGAGCGCGTGGAATAAAATTTTTGTCACGCGGCGCTTTGTTTTTCGAAAGAAACGAGGTTCGATACGTCGTTAAGCAGAAGCGCACAATTGAATGGGATACGATGACACTTTTTCATGCGTGGCTTTATTTACGAGATACGCGTGTTTGACAAGCGGTAAGGCGAGTATTCAATAGGTGTCGTCTGACCATGACAGACTGTATCTACTGGAACGTGTTCGACGAATCTACGAGTACGATTTTCTCGGAACCAATGCTTACAACGGTAACGATGTTAATCCACATATTTGATATTAACATATATATAATAATATAATGTAATAAAAAATAAAATATAAAATAATATAATATATAACATATAACATATTTGATATAATTGTTCACTATTCTTTCTATTACATTATCAGTAGACTGCGGATTTTATGTAAAATAAAAATTGTCTGCATTAATTTCAAGATGCAGGAACTACTTAAACATTTATTTCTTTTTCCAATTATTTGCGACAGTTAAAAGTCGTTTAACATTTCTGTTCTAAATGCAAAAAATATCCACAGCCCAATTATCGGTATTCGAAACACGAGAGAAAATTTCAGTAGTATAAATAAATAAATCTTACCAAAAACTGTGTGAAACTAGAAACAGAATGCATGAAAAATCGTGTAAAAGGACAGATTTTATGTGAAATTATATGAGAAATGTAAAATAATAAAATTAATAAGAACAACAAAAACAATAAAACTAATAAAATTAACAAAAACAATAAAAACCATACAAGTAATAGAAATAATAAAAACAATAAAAATAATAAATATAATCAAATAATAAAAACTAAGGGTGAGGATGAATTTTCAATTCTTCTTCAACCGATGTAGAACATCTATACTTCGAACAAAGGTCCACAATCTATTGATAAATAGTAAGTGAATAACGCGTTCGAATACTTTCGCATTGTTGCCTATCAATAGAAGAAGATAGGTCGCCGTGCTGTACCTGAATATCAATGGGATAATAAAGGTCCCAGGGTTCGTCGTGGGCAGCGTGTTTCGTCACGTACGTAGGATGAAGCGACAGACACGGTACCGGCATCGCAGATCCTCTCCTCTCGAGGTAGCTACTTCCGGTGCTGCTGCAGGTCACCGAACTGCATCGTCTTTGTTCCTCGGGAGGTGCCAGATTCGGTTGCTTCGTTGGCGCCATTAACAGAGCCTCGTAGCCACCACCGACCGACGCGAAGCGCGGGCCAACCCTCGGCGAGTGCGACTGACTTAGCTTTAACATGAAATCAGTTGATCAGCATCGCGGTATTACATAGAACCTGGATAGAAAAACTATGCTAAATCTACGAAAATCATGGACAATTGTCCTGTGGAACAATCGTGACGTTCTTATGGGAAAATGACGATCGAAATGACGCCAAGAAAAACGATATCAGTGGTTCCATTACACTACACTTTTTGCTCTTTTATTTGCGCTACATTGGCACCTCGATTGAAAAATGGAAAATTTGAGAAGAGGAGATACGATTATTCGATTTGTATACGTATACATATAGTTGTACGTATAATATATGTACTGTATTAATTAGTAATTATGTTAACACCCGGAAAGTGTTATTAAAGTTATTTGAAGAAACTTTGTCCTCTGCGAAAATGCAATCCGCGACTTTGTTTACGAGTTATTAACGAAAAACATGGACCAATCGGAGAGCGAGTGCGGCCGGCGCTCCCTTGCGGCCAATGTCGCGTCACGTCTGATGCAGAGCCATACGCGATCTCTCATTGGTCACTGTTTTTCGTTAATAACTCGCAAACAAAGCCGCGGATTGCATTTTCGCTAAGGAAAAAGTTGCTTCGAATAACCTCCGGAATCGCCCCTTTCCGGGGTGATCTAACATAATTATGGAACATCTATAGTTGTTGACAAGCAGTAACTATAAAAACGAGCCGTAAAGCCAGAATAATCATATCTCCTTTTCCTAAATCGTCCATTTTCGTGTACAATCCGAGCGTCAATTAGGGAGAATTTACAGTTACAGTATTTTCGAGAGAGCACCGTGAAATATTTATTCCGTTTATCTTCGAACAGACTTTCTAATGAGATTAATCTGTGCTAGCAATCGCAGCTAGCAAGAATCTTAGATGCCCAAAAGGAATTCAGGATATCCAAGTACCCGCAAGTGCGAGCGTTGATTGCGATAAGCAGATTTTCTGCACGTGCTTGCTGATTCCGACGAACGACATTTAGCGACTGACCTCGACGCAAAGAGACCGCCTAGGACCCCGATCCGGCCTCGGTGGTAATCTAGCGATGGCTTCAAGAGCGGCTGCAAGGGCTCTCTCCTCAGCTTCCTCTTCGGCCACCGCTGCAGCCGCTGCTGCAGCCAGTCTTGGATCCTCTAAATGCTTGTTCGATTTGCACCTGCATCACATATGGCCTCGTTTCAATAATTCTCCGCTGCTCGAACAACTTCCTGCTTATGCAGATCATCCGTGTTATACAGGGTGTTTGGAATATCGTGGTACAACCGGCAAGGGGGTGATTCTACATGCAAAAATAAGTCGAGAAAGAGGAATAACATTTTTTTTATTTAAGACTCCGTTTTCAGTTGATTCGTATTCAATAGTATTACTTTTTCAACCTAATGTTTCTCAAAAACGGAGCCTTAAAAAAATGTTATTACTCTTTCTCGACTTATTTTTGCATGTAGAATCACCCCCTTGCCGGATGTACCACGATTTTCCGAACATCCTGTATTTAACACTTCGGCTGCCACGAAAGCAATCTCAAAAATTTCACGAAATTAATGTATTTCATTTAATTACTCTTTCAATATTCTTACGTTTTGCGAATCTTAATAAGATTAGGAGATTATAATAGACTACTGAAAAAATATTAATTTTCGGAGACTAAATAAATATAGAGTATATAATTATATCTATCACATAGATCAAATTCACCAAAATCAAATTCCCAATAATTATTTCATTTTGTTATAAATAAAATACATATTAA